AAAAAAAAAAAAAAGAAAGCAAAGAAACAAGAATGGGGTGCCTGGGTGGTTCTGTCAGTTAAGCATGAAACTCTTGATTTCAGATCAGGTTGTGAGATTGAGTCCCCTGTCAGGCTCCATGCTGGGCATGAAGCTCGAGTGAGACTCTCTTTTTTTCATTTTTTTTTTCTTAATTTGAGAGAGAGAGGGAGCACACACACGAGTCGGGGAGAGGGGCAGATGGGGAAGGAGGGAGGGGGACAGAGAGAGAATCATAACCAGGCTGTCCGCTCAGTGTGGAGCCTGATGAGGGGCTCAATCCCACTCTCCCTCTCTTTCCGCCCCTCTCCCACTCATATATGCTGTCTCTCTGTACATAAAAAATAAAAAAGAAACAAGAAAAATCTCAAAGGAACCACCCCACTCTACATCTCAAGGAAGAAAATAACAAAGATCAGAATGGAAACAAATCGGACAAAAAGCAATAGAAAAAAATCAATGAAACTACGAGGTTCTGAAAAGATACAACTGGCAAACCTCTCACCAGACCTACTGGGGAAAAAAACCAGAGAGGACTCAAATAAAACCACACGTAGCAGACGAGCCATTTCATCAGACACCAAAGAAATACAAAGGATCATAAGAAACATAGTACAAACAATTTTAAGCCAACAAACTGTACAACCTACAAGGAATGGAAAATTCCTACAAACAACTTACAAAGACTGAATCAGGAAGAAATAGAAAATCTGAACAGACCCGTTGCTAGTAAGGAGATAGAATCAATCACCAAAAACCTCCCAACAAACAAATATCCAGGGCCAGACAGCTTCACGGACGAGACCTACCAAACATTAAAGTTAGAATTAATACCAATCCTTCCCCATACTCTTCAAGAAAAACAGAGGAATGGGAAACACTTCCAACTGCATTTTAGGAGGCCAGCATTACCCTGATGCTAAAACAAGACAAAGACAATATAATTAAGGAAAATTACAGTCCCGATGAACAAAGACGTAAAAATACTCAGTGACATAGTGGTGAACCATAATGAACGCCGCACTGAAAGGATCGAACGCCGTGACCAAGTGCAGCTCACCCCAGGAATGCCAGGCTCAACATCGACAAGTCAACGAGAATCACCTACCGACAAAAAGAAAGACAGAGATCACAGGGTCATCACCATCAGTGCGGAAAAACCATTTGACAAAATTCAACATCTGTGTATGACTTAAAAAAAAAAAAAACCCTCAACAAGCGGGTATAGAGACAACGTACTTCGACCTAATAAAGGCCCCATGTGGCAAGTCCACAGCTGACATCACACTCAGTGAGGAAAGCAGAAAGCGTCTCCTGTAAGATCAGGAACAAGACAGAGATGTCCTCTATCACCACCTTTCTTCATCATGGTGCTGCAAGTCCCAGCCTCAGCAATTAGGCAAGAAAAGAGACAAAAGGCATCCACACTGGGAAGGCAGAGGTAAAACTGATACTCTGTGCAGACAACATGACACTGTCCATAGAGAACCCCAGAGACTGCACTAAAAGACTGTTAGAAACAAATTCAGCAAAGCCGAAGGACACAAAATCGAAGTACGCACAAATCGGCTGTACTTCTACACAAAGTAACAAGTTACCAGAAAGATTAAGGAAATGGGCGCCCGGGTGGCTCGGTCAGTTAAGTGTCCGACTTCGGCTCGGGTCAGGATCTCACGGTTCGTCGGTTCGAGCCCCACATCGGGCTCTGTGCGGACAGCTCGGAGCCTGGAACCTGCTTCGGATTCTGTGTCTCCCTCTCTCTCTGCCCCTCCCTCACTCTCTGCCCCTCCCTCACTTGCACTTGGTCTCTCTCTGTCTCTCTCTGTCTCTCTCTCTCTCAAAAATAAACATTTAAAAAAAGTGAGGGAGAGGGGTGCCTGGGTGGCTCAGTTGGTTGAGCATCCAATTTCAGCTCAGGTCATATCTCCTGGTTCGTGGGTTCAAGCCCCGCATCGGGCTCTGTGCCGACAGCTCAGAGCCTGGAGCCTGCTTCGGAGTCTGTGTCTCCCTCTCTCTCTGCCCCTCCCCCACTTGTACCTTCTTTCTTAAAAATAAATAAATATACATTTTTTAAAAAACCGGGCAGAGGATCTGAAAAGATATCTTTCCAAAGAAAACATACAGGTGGTGCAAAGGCACATGGAAAGGTGCTCTCACCATCAGGGACCATCAGGGAAATGCAAATCAAAAGCACATTGAGAGATCGCCTCCCGCCTGTCAGAACGGCTAAAATCGAAAAGACGAAAGGTAAGGAGTGCTGACAAGGATGTGGAGAAAGGGGCCCTGGAGAAGGCACGCGGGTTCCTCGAAACATTAACCCTAGAACTCGCCCACGGTTCGGCAATCCCACTTCTGGACAGGCATCCTAAGACGCGTGTAAGCCACCGAAGTGTCCACGGAAGGAAGAACGGCAAGAAACTACGGTGTGATACACACGCCACGCAGAGTACTACCCTGCCGTGGGGACAGAGGTTCTGCTCTCCGCAGCGACACGGACCGGCTGGCCGCGTCACATTGGCTGAAACAAACGGAGAGAGACAAGTATCAAGTGACCTCGTCTTACGCGGAGTGAAAACGAGCTCATAAGTACAAAGAACGGATTGGTGGTTGCCGGACGCAGGGGTGGGGGAGGGAGAAGTGAGGGGAGGGTGTGAGAGATCCAAGATCCCACCGACAAGATCAGTCGGTCCTGGAACATTCTATAGGCAGGGACACTAGCGCTAAGAGCACACTATGGCACGCGGGTCCCCTGCTGTCTGAAAGTACAGCGTTCCGACGAAATCCCTCAGAGCAGAGATAGAAGGAATTATCATTCATTTCTATGGGAAAATCTGTGACCGTGAACAGACCCCAAAAATTATTCTCTCAGGCTTTTCTTGGGCCGCAGGGACACACGCCGCTAACAGATGCCCGAAATAAAGGGAGAAGGCACAGACGGGGACAGGCGGCTGCACGCAGAGCGTCCCTAGGACAGAGCCGGGCCGTGCCCCTGTGGCTGGAGGACACACGTCTATTTTCACGGATCGACTGTTTTCACAGAAGCGAAATCCTCCTCGGGCTCTTTGGGCGAGGGAAACCAGGTCCTGACGTGGGTCTTTCCAAGGAGCCAAGTGGCTTAGCGTGACCTTTCAGAAAGCGGGAGACGCTCGTATCTGAAGTTGCTAAGGGGGTATGCAAAATGTTCTCCCAGAGACATTGCCGGCCCCAGCGGGAGGCACCTTGCTCAGCATATGGAATTGTGAGCACTCCCACCCCCAGAAACCTCCTTCTTGCCCTCGCTCAGGACAGAACTTCAACAGCTGGGAGTTACCCCGATCCCCCTTTCTCCTGTTCCCAGAATATAACCCATTGGGAATCGGGGCACTTCCGTCTTGAAATCATTACCGGAATACGACCAACCACTCCCTCCAAGGCCACCTGTCTGGCCCACACTGGCTCCTGTCTCTTGCCTGAGTTACTGGAAAAGCCTCACAAGTGATCTCCCTTCCCCATCCTCAACCCTCTGTAAACTGTTTTCAAGACTGCATCCAGGATGGCCCAGTTAAACAGGGGTCACGTGTGGTCGCAGCCCTGCCATGGCTTTCTGTCACCCTCTGTCACTTCCCTGAGGCCAAGTCCTACCTCTGTCTTCCACAGCCACGGGCCGTCTTGCTGTTCCTGGATATGCCTGGTACGCTCCTGCCTCAGGACCTTTGCACGTGCGATTCCTTCTGCTTGGAAAGGTCTTATTGCCTTATCACTCACCTTCTTTAGATCTTTACTCAAGTATCGCCCTCCTAGCGGTCCTACCTGCTCCCGTGTGAACAGCATCACCCTCTCCTCACCTTCACACCCCCAGCCCTGCCTCCACCTTTACTCTTCCAGAGCATTTATTGTAGTCTCTAGTCCATTTCAGCAGGCCTATCATGTCGGCCTAGTAGTTGAACCCATTTGATTCCTGGTGCGAAGCCCGGGGGGGAAAAGGTGCCTGGGGCCCTTCCGCATCCCAGAGCCAGAGAGCAGGCTCCCTGGCCAACTGCGCCCCCGAGCACCATCAGGAGAATGGGCCTTACTAGGAACACACCTGCGTGTGAAGCCACAGCCGCCTCGGTTACAGGTGAGCACGTGCACGTCCTGTCCCAGCCCGAACGCTGAGCAGGGACCCATCCCGGGGTGCACATCTCCCTCTGGCCGGGTCCTGCCTAACAGGGCCATCTCCTCGCTGCCGTGAACACCTGTGCCCAGTTCCCACATACCCCTGCGGCCGGGCAGAATGGGACACCTGTCACTCCCTCCTGGTAAGTCGCACAGTGCACAGGAGGGACAGCAGACCGCCTGGGCTCTGCCTCACTCTCACACATCAGGCCCGGACCGAGGCCCTCACGGAGGCCGCTGGCCCCTGCAGTCCTGGGAACCTGGCGGCGGGAGCGGGATCTCAGCTGCAAATGACAAGTGACCCCCTCCATGCAGCACAGTAGTGGTGGACAGGATGCCCCGGCGTGGCCCCGTCAGAAACACTTGTGCCGCCAGACTCCCCAACACGCCCACGACATTCCCGCAGCTCCCGGGAGGCAGGTGGCACGCGGGGAATGAGTAAGCCCAACCCCCCCCCACCCCGCCCCGCGACTGGGCCGCTGCCCCTGGCCCCGCCGAGTCCGGGCTCCAGAGTAGTCTTATCACTGCTGCAGCACAGGGCCGGTGGGGGGGGGGGGGGGGGGGGGGAGCCCAGTCCCTGTCCTTGGGGCGAGCCTAGTGACAGCCCACAGCCTCCCGGCCGCCTGATCCACCCGGCCCGCAGGCCCAGACCTGCTGGCACAAGTGACGAAAAGACACGCGGGATTCTTTCCGCTGGAGCTCAGCGCCAGCCTCGGTAGCTCAGCGCCAGCCTCGGTAGCGCGATCCTCTTGCTCTCCGGGACTCCCCGGGCTGTGTCTACACTGGCCCGTGCAGGCCTCCCATCCAGACGGCTCAGCAAATGCCCTCGGGGTTCAAGTCACTTCCCAGCCGCTGTTAAAAAGGCAGAGCAGCCAACAACCACGGCTGTGCTGGAAACTCGGACGACAGCCCTCCTGAACACAGCCCTTCCAAGCCCTGGCTTCAAACTTCGCCCGCTGGCCACGGAGGACCACGTCAGCATCAACACCTCTTCCAATGCACTCGCCTCCCGGTCCTTGGAGCCAGGAACCAAGCGCAAGTCACTGCCTCTTCTCCGCTCAGAGAAATGAGAATAACAGAATGAAACCCTCAGTGTGCCCAGCACGCTTGTGTCAAGATGTAATGCCCGGGCCTTTCTCACACGGGCAGCATTTCTTACTTCAACGTTTATTTATTTTTGAGAGACAGACAGACAGAGCACAAGAGGGGGAGGGACAGAGAGAGAGAGGGAGACCCAGAATCCGAAGCAGGCTCCAGGATCTGAGCTGTCAGCACAGAGCCCGACGTGGGGCTCGAACCCATGACCCTGAGATCAGGACCTGAGCCGAAGTCAGATGCTTAACCGACTGAGCCACCCAGGCACCCTAATGTTTTTGTTTTTATTTATTTTTGAGACAGAGACAGAGAGTGGGTGGGTAGGGGGCAGAGAAAGAGGGAGACACAGAATCCGAAGCAGGCTCCAGGCTCCGAGCTGTCGGCACAGAGCCTGACGCGGGGCTCGAACTCATGAACCGTGAAATCACATCCTGAGCCGAAGTTGGGGGCTTAACAGACTGAGTCATCCAGGCGCCCCGTCCCATGGGCAGCTCTTAATGACCCACACTAACAAGAGAAGCCAGAAGTTCAGAGGTCACGTATATATCTGACATCGTGGCTTTCCTTGTAACATCCGTATCTCAGAGTAAATGTCTACGCTGCCTTCTTAAAATAGTAACGATGATCATGGCACTGTCACGTAAGGGTCTGGAGCTCCACAGCCAAACCATGTGGCCGTGGCCCGGATAAGAATGAAGACACACCCTCAGCCCACAAAGCAAAGCCCACATCCTCAGGGACCCCGACACACCTCACGCTGGAAGATCCCTTGCTTCGCGAGGTTGTCCGTGTACAGAATACCCAGGCACCCTCCCCCATTCCTTCTGCTTTCTTCATGAATTCTCCAGTTTGGGACTTGTGAGTGGTCACTGGGTCAAGCTTCCGGAGTCTAGGATGCGCCGGCAGGTAAGCAGACCCCTCGGAGCCCCCGCGGAGAGCCGCTCGATTCCCTCCGGACGTGCGATGCGCCACCGCCCCCCGGCTCCTGCACAACGTACCCCCCTTCTCCGTGTCTCCCTGTCGCAGAGGCCACCCCACACAGTTTTAGCTGAGGCTGTGTTTTACTGTAACCAATTTCTGATACTGGAAGGCGGTTCATGGGAGAGAAAAACATGAACACTACCAAAGATTCAATATTTCAAAAAATCTTTTTCACATGAAAATATGAAATAAAAACACACACAGCCCCTCCCACCAACAGGTATAGATCACTTCAGCGCCTCAAAGAAAAGCAGGGGGGAAAGAGTACTGGTTGTTCTGACAACCATTCCTTTTCATGATCGGAGCTTTGAAGAGTCACAAACAAGCAGCGAGAAGAGTAAGCTGTGTGTGTCAGGGAGGCTGGGGGCGGAGAAGGTCCCGGGTCTGTCACCTGCTGTCAGCCAGGGCCGTCACCTGTCGCAGGCGAGGCCCCGCCACGGCCTCCCACAGATGCACTCAGCTCTCATCTGGGACCCCGGGCCAGACTCACCCAGACCTGGAGCGCCTGTGCCTACCGCACAGGTCCGGGATCTCTCCTGTCCTTCCAAAATTACACTTGCAGGAGGCTTGGGTGAGAAAGGTATGATCCCACCTAATCGAAGTGTCACACCTACTCTCCCTTTCCGTCTTCTTTCTCTCCTCTCCCCTTCTACCCGTGCAGACTAGGAGTAACGTATCAGCTGAACACCAACACGCTCTGAGACCTTTCTACCACACTCTGTGCGATACAGCAACATCCCACAACTCGGGTTTTTAAACTATTATTTCTGGAACAATACAGCCAAAATCCCCCCATTTTCATTTCATTCTGCAGACCATTTTCTGCGTAAAAAGCCTTTCCAGGGGGCGCCTGGGTGGCGCAGTCGGTTAAGCGTCCGACTTCAGCCAGGTCACGATCTCGCGGTCCGGGAGTTCGAGCCCCGCGTCGGGCTCTGGGCTGATGGCTCGGAGCCTGGAGCCTGTTTCCGATTCTGTGTCTCCCTCTCTCTCTGCCCCTCCCCCGTTCATGCTCTGTCTCTCTCTGTCCCAAAAATAAATAAATGTTGAAAAAAAAAAAGCCTTTCCATAGAAACTACGTTCCTGCAACTTTGTAAGTGAGTAGACTTGAAACTCTGTGGCATGACCTGACTCACCCCGGGTCAGGTGAGCGCTTCCAGACCTCAGCCCAGGGCTCCTGACATCAAGCCCCTTGCTGCAACCGGCCTGCCTCTATCCAGAATTCCCAAAGACTTTCCTCTTACCTTCACTGCAAAGAAACTACATAGAAAACACAGCAGATCAAAATATCGAGATGATAAATTTAGTAAAAGTAGAAAGGTCAAAGGTAAAATGTGGGGCGCCTGGGTGGCTCAGTCGCTTAAGCGTCCAACTTTAGCTCAGGTCATGATCTCACAGTTTGTGACTTTGAGCCCCGCATTGGGCTCTGTGCTGACAGCTCAGAGCCTGGAGCCTGCTTCAGATTCTGTCTCCTTCTCTCTCTGCCCCTTCCCTGCTCTCTCTCTCTCTCTCTCTCTCTCTCAAGAATAAACATTAAAAAAAAACATTTTTAAAGGTAAAAAGCTATTTTAAATAACTCTCAATTTCCCTCTTCCCTAATTGTAACCCCTGGTGGAAGGTTAATCAGTTATGACACAGCACCTTAGACAAATGACAAGGAACCAGGAAATTCTGTATCTGACTACAAACGGACCCCGTCCCTAACCATAGACGTTAGCCACTCAGTCATATGCTAGGGCCAATCAAATAAACACTGTTAGTTGTGAAGCAAATTATATTTCAAAAATACAAACACCAAATCTTATCTTTCCTTTCTAATAAAAGTTATTTCCTACGAAACAGATATGCGAAATAGATTTAGTAAGCAGTAAGTGAACAGTGAAAACCTCACCCCTGCAATGTTCCACCCGGCGGGGCACTCAGGCACGCCTGCACCGAATCCGCACACTGACAGCTTCTTAGGTTGTACTTTGCGGCTCAACCAGAGAGCAGAGAACAGCCCGCGAGGTTTGGAGTTAATGAGAAGTTTCACCTCTAGCAAAAGTGAGTCACTGACATGAATACTGCATTGCGCCAATCTGCTGCTTTCTCTGAACACGGATGCATCGTGTACCCAGATGTTGATGCTCAAAACTGAGGGTAGCACAGAGGCGAAGTGCCGCCAGCTGGGGGTGAGTAGGTGCCTCCTGAGTATGGCCTGCACCCCTGCTTCGGTTTCTGGAGCCGCGATGCTCTGAGAGAACGGGGACACATACTTGCTTCCAAGATGTAATTACGTTCATCCTAAAGCAGACCAATGACTTTGTCTTTACAGGAAAAGGGAAATTACTGTTCCAGATAAACACCTCAGTTCCTCCCGTGACTTGAGAGGGGTCTGGTTGACTCCGGCCTCCAGGCCCCTGCCTGGAGGACCCTCCCACACAATCCTGACAGCCCATTACCACTATCCCGTGGGGGAGGACCCCAGGCACCCTGCCGAAGTTGGGGGGGCTGCTCGTGGGCTTACTCCCTCCACATCTGTGCGCGGGGTAACAGGAGAAATTCCACCCAACTTGGCGGCCACTCGTGGTCTGTTACCTGTACCCAGGAGTGTCTGTACCCAGACTGTCTGTACCCAGGAGTGACAGGGAGCTGGGGGCTGCTCATGGACCCCCTTACACATGACCTGTATTGTCTGTGCCAGGGGACAGGGGACACCCCACTGGGTGGGGCGCTGCTCGCGGTCCATCACCTGCACTGTGGGTGCTCAAGGGTCCAGGGGACACCCCTCTGAAGTTGGGTGGGTTGCATATGAAGCACTCCTTGATGTCTGTGCTCAGAGGAGACAGGACACTCGTCTGAAGTTGGGTGGCTGCTCATGGGCCTGTTACCTGCACTGTGTGCTGGGCTGAGGGCACAGGGGCACCCCACTAAAGTTGGGAGGCTGCGTTCAGTCCTTTACGTCCACTGTCTGTGCCCA